TTTTTTTATTTTATCGTATAAGAAAACAATACTTAGATGAAACGGAGTTAAGTTTAGGAGTGGGAGGTCGTTATGTCACGCTACCCTATAAAATGTAGTAAATTGTGACGTCACACGATATTTCAAATCAATATATCGTCGAAAGTATTTCATTTTGTGAGAAAATAAAAAATACGTGTTTAATATTTTAAAATAATATACCAGACGGACATTTTTTTTAAGGTGGGAAAATCATCGAATGGTTTTTCCCGTCTGGGTGAGGCGGGAGGGAGTGTCAGACTCTTACTGACTAAAAACCACCCGTTGTAACTCCTGCACGTGGAGCCGGAGCCCCGGTAACCCGTTAGGTTCTCCGCGACACCAGACGGACAATAAAATACAATTTATTATACTGCCCTATTGAGGGGTTCTTAATATTCGTCAAAATGTTTTGATTGTTGGCACAATTTGTTTGTATAATTACAATTTGTAATAACTCGAAAATTGTTCGTTCAATTTTGGCCTTTGGCCTTTATAGTACAAAGTACAGTGAGACCCAGTCGTCTAAAACAATGACAATAAGTAGCTTATTTTTTAATCCTAGATATATGGTATGTATTTGTGGATTAGATGGAACGTAAACCTACCACAACTTGCATATGATAATTCCTAGGCAGCATGCTTTCTCTTGCCATCACAACATTCTTGATTGAGACTTGTTAGATGCATAAAGTTGGTATCTATAGGTGTTATTTTATTTTTTAAAAACAAAACCTGCAAAACTGATTCGTTTTACCTATGCCTATGATAATACTGGACTAATAATATATCTGATGCAACAAAAATACTTAATTGCAATTCAATTTATTTGCAAATATTGGCACATGATAATACTTAAGTTTAATAATATGGCTTGTTTCATATTTCCTAGACAATTTCTATCCTTCATATTTTCACCTCACACAAAAAACCGCAACAATTAAAACCCAATCAAATAATACCTTCAATAATCCACAACATAAGACGCACAATTATTTCTAAGCCCGCCATTTTATTTTCCGTCTCAACTCGACACGTTTGCCAAACAAATACTTTATGGTACAGTCCCTTGATGACAAAAACTGAGATATCCTTTGAGAAAAGCCGCGGTCACAAAAACCGCACCCAACAACCAGCTGCTGGACAATTCAATAAAGGTACCTTATAATTGGTTGGCGATCGCCATTTTAATTACGCGAAATGTTTTTCGTTCGATTTTTAAAAATATTTTACTGTTTGTTTTTGGTTCGGGTTTTCGAGTTTTCTAGGTTTTCTAGAGTGTAGTGTTAGGATTTTCAAGGTAATACGATTTTTTGCGGATTTGGTTTAGGAACATCTGCTGACTGATTACGCCTTTTATCTCCGAAGGGGTAGGCAGAGGTGTACATTACGGCACTTAATGCCACTGCATAATGTAACTCCCACTTTTTACTATTTATGTTTTGAGTCCCATGATTACATGCTTACATTCTATTAACTCTCTAGGTACATTCTATTCCTCTGCCTTCTTCGGGGATAATAGGCGTGATGTTATGTTATGTTATTCTATTCTATTGTATTTAACATATCTGATATAAGGTTTAACATCAATCTAAAAGTATTTCTGAAATATTTCCTAAGTAACAATTTTCACGTGCTTTTTTGTTCTTACAAATTCTCAGTGCCATCTGCAATGTCTGCCAAATTCCATTTTAATTGCTTACGGTGATGTTTTTCGCATCACAACCTGTCATTTTGACGACCGAAAGACAGTTTATCAAGGAGTAAATTGATCAAAAATTAACATTAACATAATTAAAATACAATTTAAAAATATCACTTCAAAAGCTGATCCAATCGTTTGCTAAAAATGTATGGTATTTCAAAAATTGACGGCTTCATTTTTAATTCATTTTTCGAGTTTATTTTGTCTTCTTTTGTTAATGACTTGACTTACTTGACTTAATCCTTTGAGTATCGTCATCATAGACACAATTAAAGAACTATAGGTTGCGGTCACCGGTGTCCTCGCAGTGTTTGACAGTTTATCCTGTGTCCCCTAGATGGGGCAGATGGCGTCCACTGAAGTTCTCCATCGCGATCTGTAAGATTCACGCTTCACCTCACTCTACGTCATACCGATGCTCGTCGCTTCTGCCAGTACGGCGCGACGCCAGGTTTGCCGAGGACGGCCACGCTTTCTTTTCTTTTGTTAATGGCTAGTGTTAATTCAATGCTGGTGTGTTACTTTTAAATATTGCGTAACTTAACATTACGGCTTTTATCCCCGAAGGTAGACAGAGGTGCATTTTATAGCAATTAAATACCACCGTACAATGTATTTTCACTATTTATGTTATGAGTTCCATGTAATACGGGGTGAGCTTATTACCATATACATATCTGGCACAATTCCACACTCCGTGCTACCACTGAGATTATTTTTAAAAACCCAGTACATAGAACCCAAGACCCCATGTACGGCAGTCAGTCTAAGCAGTCTAAATATTATCTTTACTAGAATTACTTTTACAGCGATACCTGCTGCAGCACTAGCCACACAATGGCGTATTATTGAACAAAGTCTAGTGTACCCAAATGTTCTTTTGGTTGGTATTGTTCGTTGAGTCATTCAGCAACATCTATTACTGAGCTGATTTAAAACTGACACATGCGTGCTACCATCAGAACAGGACCACTCAAACTGTTGTGGACTTTTCCTCAATGCAGAAAGACCTACGGCATCGACTTGCACGGTTCTCGCAAGTCTTTCTTTCCGAAGATACTTACAGTAAGAATATTTAGACCACCTTCTAAGCTCTCCATTAATCTATATCAATACCTCTACAGTCTATACTACATGTGTTGGACAATTCTTTCGAATAATTCAGATGAGAATTTCTATTTTTACAACTTTAGTGAATTGACCTGGCTAGCTTACTTCTCACCTTGTCCTTGTTAGTAAGTCTCTTGAACATTTGAAGTGAGGCATTAAACAAGTTAAGACAATTTTTGTCTCGGTTTTTGCTAGTATTTTTATACTTCTGTACATCATCATCATCATCAACAGCCTATAAATGCCCACTGCTGATCAAAGCTTCTTCTCCTACAAAGAAGGTTTGAGCATTAATGACCACGCTTTTTAAACTTATCATTAGAAATTATAAGCCCAGGCTTCCTGAGAATAGTTTCCTTCGCCGTTTGTCAAGGATGTCTGAATAATCTTAGAAAGTACATATAGGTCGGAAAAAGTCACATTGGTACTTGCTATTGGTAGGTTTCGAGCCCACACTCTCATGGATGAGAAGCGGGTGTCTTAAACCACTGGGCCACCACGATATTTTTGCAAGTAAGCCGGAACGAAGTCATTTCCTATGATGTTTATTCGATATCAGTAAGTAAAAGGAAATTACTATTAATATTAGTGTTACTATTTGTGATTTTTTTTTTGTGAGCTAGTTCCATTTTTAGGTCAAGGTTAACCCCACGCACTCCTAGAAATGTTAAGCAGCTGTTTATAAGGAGACAATAGAACTTATTTTTTTACCTTAGAACTTTCTTTACGTATATTATTCTGATAATTAAAGTGTCGGAGAGCCATGCTTCGGCTCGAATGGGCCGGCTCAACTGAGTGATACCACGGCCAAGCAGGAAAACGACGTGAAACAACGCTTGTATTCTGTTTCGTCGCCTGAGTGATGTTCCCGGATGCCCAATTACCCTTCCCCTTTCCCCAATCTTTCAAATTCCTGAATCCCCAGCAATCCTCAAATTTCGAATCCCCAAAAGGTTGGTATCGCACTGGTAACGCCCTTAGTGTTCCAGGTGTCTATGGGCGACGCCGATTGCTTACCGTCAGGCGATCCGTCAGCTCGTTTACCGGCTTATTCCATAAAAATCATTTTTTAGAATTTATAGGTTTGTCTTTAGTAATCTATTTCTCAACAGGTTCACTTAAAATTTTGTATTTTGATTCGAAAGAATTAGAAATAAAAAGATCAATATTCTTTTATTGAACCACTTCTTTATATGTAGTTACTTTGATGGAATAAAAGTCGTTTAACATCTGTCATGAGTATGTGCCTGTGTGTGTGTATATATATGTGTGTAATTTTTTTTTTTTTTTTTTTTTTTTTTAAGGGGGGAAATCATCGAATGACTGCCCCCGCCTGGGTGAGGCGGGAGGGAGTGTCAGACTCTTACTGACTAAAAACCACCCCGTTCCTTCTCCTGCACGTCGAGCCGGAGCCCCGGTTACCCGTTAGGTTCTCCGCGACTCCGAAATATGTGTGTAATTAAGGTCCAATTATTGTTGCAACAAACCACAAAATAAAAACACAAAATGTATAATATTTTTCTCTTTTTATTTGACAAAAGAAATTAATTCATTTTTTTTTCTTAATTCCGCTTTCCTTATAATACATTGTAGTTATAAAGTAATTATGCTACTTACATTTATATGTATAGTTTATTTTTCTATATATTACAAAAAATATTTACAAAGTTCTTAATTTCATCCCGTAAAGACCCATTCTAGAAGTAAAGAATTATATGTAATACAGTCTATTCATATTGCTAAAATATTGCAAAATTAAAATTAATATCGAAACTAAAAAATGAAATACAAATTAAAAAACAAAAACTGAAATAATCCGAATTAAAAATTTAAAGAAATATGAATAGACTATATTAGTTACAGGTAATAAAGAAATTGCAGTAGACATTAAAGATATTAATATATTTATAGCTTAAAACAAAATCTTTTTGCATTCAGAACACATTATTTTTGCACAAAACGTAAATAAATACATTTTTTTTAACTCAAGTTATTTATTTGTTCTACAAAAAAAAATCTTAAAATTAATTTATCACAACAGACTGGTTTTGTGTTCCCGTGTAATTGTTTTTAAAAATTTAATTCTAAATAAATAAGAAAAATATTAAAGCTTAATTTAAGAATACAATTTTCTTTTATTATTATTATTTTATTGGTTACATTTCGGCAAATATATTTTTTAATTAATTTTTACTTTTCAAATGTAAAACGAATATTGCAACCAATTAATTAAATTTCAATAATATTTTCTATTTTATTAATCTATGAATGGCATATCACATTTTTTATATTTTTATCTTGATAACTTATGCCATTTTTTTCAATAATTAGGGTGTCTCGGGAAACTTAAAATAAACAATAGAACCAACACATTCACATCTGTCATACATCAAAACTGACAAATAACGTGGTCTGTCCATTTTAGTCTGTCACGTGTTTATCAACCAATCAGGAACGGATATTTCAGGATAAACGAAAGCTGATTGGTTCATAACTATGCGACAGGGTTGGACGTTACGTTATTTTATAGGAATACCAGTATATTGATGAGCCAGAGAATTATTTTTGGAAATAATATTGAAGCAGAAATGTAAGATTTTTGTTTGTCTATAAAGAAACATATTTTTTAAACAGTTCGTCGGAGACGGAATTGAATTTTATAAATATGAATTATAATTGTTTGGCCCATCAATATCTGTTTTTATTAACATATTATTACATATACAGTAACCATTATAAACAATTATTCCCTATTTATAATTAATTATAAAAATTTACATTGATTTTTATTTATTACTATTAAATAATTCTGCTTAAAATTAAAAGTTGGTTGTGCCGATGCTTTCGCGCCTAGATACGACGCCATTTTGTGGTGGCTGTCATTCTGTCCGCCATTTTATAGTGAATATACACTTACATTTTACATTTTAGTTAGGTTTGTGTGCGAGGGCTGTTAAACTGCTGGCCATACCCTGTTGACAAAAGAGAAAATAAATTTAAAGTATGTCGTAAAAACAAATTAATACTAAGACGGCACAAACTAAAACAGCTGTTTCAAAAATATCTCCCAGTGCAGTAAAATATGGCGTAATTTTTTTTTATGTCATATTTTATTTTCATAAAACAGATAAGTTATTTAGGTATATGAAATATATGAAATGTGGTCCTAGTAAACCTATTTGAGAAGCTTCATTTAAAGGAATGAAGAAAACATAGTAAAATGTATTGAAATTTGACATCTATGGTCAGTGATAAGACAAATGATATGCACATAAATGATTTAATGAATTTTATTTATTGTGACCTTCAATTAATAATGCTTTTATTCTTTTAAAATATATTTATCCCTACCCCACAGAAGGATGTTTCTTGCTTTATAAGTGTGTTTACATCACCCATCACCCAGACCCAGAATAAAAATAAACCTTTGATATTTACAATTATACTAGAAGCGCGGTTTTGTCTACGAAAACCCTTCGAAGCTGCCCAAAACGGCTAATTTTATGATGGAAACTTACTGACTAACCCAGGATTGCCATCGGCCTGGTACTAGAAGATTTGTGACACGATGATCAAGTGCCACCTCGTGTCTCCAGTCACCAACCCGCTTGCCAAGCATGGTGGTTCATTCCCCATTTTTGTAGAGGCCTATGTCCAGCAGTGGACTGCGAGAGGCTGTAGAAAAGGACCTCTTAATGAAAAATCATGATTATGGAACTTACGTGGTGGTGGTCTGGAGTTTCCAGCAGGAGCAGGTGGCTCAGGCGGAGAGTAAAGAATGAAGAGAGATGGTAGAAGATGGGAGGTATGCCACAAAATGATATACTGACCTCATTGTCGAGTTTTTAGGGACCAACGCAGTACATTCTCGTAATCAGGACTAAATAAATCTAACTTCTCTTTATGACTTTGAATTTATGGCAGTTCTGTATTATGAAGTTTCAATTAATTATTACGGCAAAATTGTTGGGTTACAAGACAAAAGTTTCGGACTTACGTGTGCAGTCAGAACTAGGTCTGAATGTGTCTGATACGATCAAACAGTTTCCAAATGACTAATACGTTCAATATCATAAGCAATTAGATATTTGATGTTAAAATATTTGGTGCAAAGGCTAGCCACATCAAACTCAAATGAAAGCCAAAGTCGAAGCACTTTTGAATAAAATCGAGAATATTTTGAATGACTAAAGTTTCGTTTAGCGATGGAGCTGAAAAATGTGATGTGCTATGTGCATATAATAATATTATATGTAAATATATATTTACTTATAAGTATTGAACGTACTAGATTTTGTAACTAAAATAAAAAAAAAACTTACGTGAGTAATCCAGGGTTGGCATCAGTTTGATACCACGAGTACTGTGGCACGTAGGGCGGGTGAGGTTGTGGCGCCCCCTGATGATGCAGTGCGTGGGCGGCGTGCGCGCCTTTCATGTCCCATGGGCCGGGCGGCGCTCCCTACGACAAAGAGAGGTGATTGTTAGTTTTCGGTGTCATTTGTACAGATTTTTGGAATTTATTCGTAGTGTGTATGTGTGTGTGTGATGTATGTAAGTTAGTTCGTTCTTCTTTATAAAACCAAATCTATTGAGTAGGCAGTGCCTCCGCACTTCGCTTGGAATGTCTTAGCAATTCATTTATTAAATGTTTTTGTAGAAATGTAATAGTCTTAGTACAATATGTGTTTGTTATTCGGTGAGCCTCTACTACTGCGGTGTGATTTTGGATGATCCATACACAGAAATGCTTTATTTTGTTTATATTTAAGCATTATTTTCTATATATAGTGATATGTATAGCGCTGTGCTAAATCGCAACTTTCTACATAAATGTATATGCGACTGTTTCTATGTTTTAGTAGTGTACGCTCGCAGTACACAGTCTCGGGTACGATTTCCGAGTCACACAAGTTGCTAACAAAATTCTCAGCAGTATCCAGCGTAACAGAAAAGCTCATTCTTTCTATTATGAGACTAAAGAACAAACACAATGTCAGATAATCTACAGGCTATATTCATCTTACCTTATAAAACATAGCGTGATGTTCAAAATAGGTACAGTAAATTAATCAACAAATATACATACGAAGTCGCAGTAAAAGTTTAGTCGAAAATTAATCGACAAAATGTTGAGGTGTGGTCGGCACACCCACGAACCATTATCTAATAAGTTCCATATACCTATCTATCCATTTTTTTTTTATAATTTTCACACACGCAACCACACAAACTTGTTTTTTTCTAATCTTTCTATGGAAAAACGTATCGGAACTTGATGGTAATTAAACAAAAATGTTGATTTCGTATTTACGTAGGTATAGGAACATGTTTGTAGCTTTTTAGTAAAACATAAAAATTTTAAACGTAATTACGGAATCAAATTTCGTTTTTTAATTGTCGCAGCTAAGCTATGGATTATTTGAAATTTAATGATGTATGGTGGTAAAAAACTATGTGCATTTGACAAACACGACACGGAATCGAAGCCTTACCTTCAGCATCCAAGGCATAGGTCGGCCCCTCATGCCGTCTGCGCCTGGTGATCCTTCAATATCATCAGATTGGGGCGCGAAATAACCCTCCTACGATAAGAAAAGTAAGGTCCCCTCAAAAATATGTATATCTTTAGGTAAAAATACCTAAACTACAAAATAAAAAATCAACTAAACTAAAATTTGAAATAAACATATATTTTTGTACAAAATTATTGCATTTAATTTTAAAAATAACACACGCATTATGTTTATTACAAAAATGATTTATTATTTCATTTTTTGTAGATGAGTAAAAATTACAAACACATTTTTATTTCATAAAATGTAATTTAATTGATAAATTAATAATTTTATTTATGTTTTAGATTAATATGGTGGGTTAATTTTAAAATCGTATGCAATAATTGAAATATTTATTTAATGGTTTTGGACTTACATATCCGACCCTAGGGTCCCATGATTGCTGATGTGGTGGCTTCACATCGCACGAGCTACCGTCAGGCGACCGTCCTGCCGTCGGCTAAATTAACAAAAGAAAATACAAATGTTAAGAAGCCATTTTTAAACGTTAAAAACTTCAGTGAAAATTGATGTTAAATGGAATTGTAATAGTTCACAAGATTATTGGTTTTTTGGCTATAAAATGAATGTGATGTTTTTAAAAATGAATGTAATGTCTTGTGTATTATGTTGAAGAGTTTTTTTGTAAGTTTAGAATTGTACAACTTGTATTATTTGTTATTTTGAAATGGGTTTCAGACGTTTTCGTTAAATATACATATACATATGTTAGTGCCAATAATTTTGGTAATACAAAAGAATTTCAGTGTTCTTCAAGATCGAAGAGAAACGAATTATAAAAAGTCTGTTATTTGAACCTTAATTATGTTGAAATAGAGTTTTAAATGACTACTCTATCAAACTTAGTCTACTCTATCAAAAAACTAAAAAAAAAAACATGTTTCTTATTATTATTTTCTCTTACATATCCAACCTTGATATCCCATGACGGCTGTGGTGGTTGCTTCACATCCCACGGGGTGCCTGTGGGTGACAGCCCTGGGGACAGCTCCGACACTGGGGTGGAGCTGGGGGTGGGGGAGTGCGCCTGCGCCGGTCCCCCGCTCTGGTACGCCGAGGGGGAGTGTTGAGACCCGCTTGAACTTCCACCGCCACCTGTTGGAAGAAAAATGAGTTTAGTTAAATGGAATATTTACATGGACGAACATGGACTGCCTCATTGGCCGAGAGGTCGCAAGTGTGACTGCCGGGCAAGGAGTCTCGGATTCGATTCCCAGGCCAGGGAAAGTATTACTAAATTAAATCTTAGTAGTAGCATGGAGTCTGGAATCGGGTCCAGTATATGGCAATAGGCTCATTACAGAATTGCCACTATTACATGGGACTCATTACATAAATAGTGAAAAGCGGGTGTTACATTGTACAGCGGCATTAAGTGCCGTAATAATCTCTGCCTGTCCTTTCTGTGATAAAAGGCGTGATGTTGTGTTATGTCATGTTAAACGAAACATTATATTGATTCTGGTGCATTATTATTATTTCTATCGTCTGCTGTAGCATAGGCTGTGAGACCCTACTGCTGGATTTTCCAGTGGTGCTACTCGGGCTTTCTCTACAAGGGAATTGCAACAATCTCCACGCTTGGTCATGTTAGGGATCGTAGTTTCAATGGCATAGGCGTATTAGAGATGCTACTGTCCGATCTCTGTTGAATATATAGTACTTTAGTCACTAAACAGAGTCGACTATACTTAATAGTCTGAGCTAAGTTTATATACCCACTAGCAGACCTGGCAAACTGCGTTACGCCTAAAATAAAACCTTCCCTGGACTTCCACGAACATTTCAAGACCAGAATTAGCCAAATCGGTTCAGCCGTTCTCGAGTTATAGCGAGACTGACGAACGAAAATTTATTTTTATTTAGATATATGAAATTAGATGATTAGATAGAAAGACCTTAAATGTGGGAGAGCCACGCTTCGGCACGAATGTACCGGCTCGACCGGAGTAATACCACGGCCTCATAGAAAACCGACGTGAGACAACGCTTGCGTTGTGTTTCGTCGTGTGAGTGACGTTACCGGAGGCCCAATTACCCCTCTCCCTAGTCTCCCGAACCCCGAATCCAACACAATCCTCAAATTCCCAATACCCAAAAGGCCGGTAACGCACTTGTAGCCCCTTGGTGTTTCGGGTGTCCATTGGCGCCGCCGATTGCTTACCATCAGGTGATCCGTCTGCTCGTTTACCTTATGCTATAAAAAAGACAGGTGGTGCTGACAAATGTATAATTTAATTACTATAAAACATGCTTACCATGTAATAGCTGGTTGTTGTTGGGCGGGCTGCTGGGCGGTAGACCGAGGCTGGGTGGAGGAGCACCGACTTGGGCAGCCTTCATCATCTTCTTGTATTTACTGCGGCGATTTTGGAACCAAATCTTCACCTGTGTACAAAAGAAATTTAATTAGATTAGATATTTTGAAACGTACAGAAACTGGTGGTTAGGTAACTTCTTCGTATGACCTTCTCTCCTCTCCTTTGTAAGGTGTCAGGGAGTGTTAGACTCTTATTGATTAAAAACCACCCAATTACTACTTCTGCTTCGAGCGGGCCGTGGTATCTTTTTGCAATCGACCCATAACCCAGAAATAAGCTAACAACTACAATTAAAAAATAATAAAATCAATAAAATTTAATTTTATTTAAGTAATAGTTTTAATTTAACTTTTTTTATTTGAATAAAATTGAATTACAGCTAACAACTTAATAGATATAGACTTTTAGTTTTCTTTATGGGATTGGGGACAAGTAGACAGCTCACAACTCACATACAATACTATTTCGTAAAAGACCAGCTGTCTTAAAGACCATGAAATTAATTTATTTCATATAATCAGTTCTATATATATATATATATATATATAGTTTAATGTAATGCTATGGGGTTTAGAACTATATTAATGGCTCTTTTTTAGTTTTTAGTGTTAAAAGTTACTTATAATTTCTAAACTAGACTTTTATACGGTAAACGATTTAGAATTTATTAACAAAAAGTTTACATTTTATACTTTTTTTAGACTAAGAAAATGTTTATAAACTATGGGTTCTATCGAATAAAAACCGCTAAAATTATTACAATAATTATAATAATTTATATCTTAATATCATGCAACGTGATATCATTATATATGTGTTAAATATAAGTAATCCAAAAAACATATACAATTTATGTATAAAACATTAATTTTCTACCGACTTCTTTTTTTCATTTTTTGCGAGTCTGTAACATAACTGCATATAATTCTTTTCTTGCATATAAAAACTAAACTACTACTATACATGCCTTTATAGAAGTAGTGTTGCACAAAAAGTATTTAACGATCAATACTTAAGACAAAGTTATCGATATCGATAAATAAATTGTTCGATAAAAAAACTAATGTAATTCGCAATGCGCTGACAACCATTTACTTCTATGTATGTATGAATGTATGTAAATTAATTTTAATTGAACATTCATACATTTTTACATACACACATACATTATGTATGAATATTAATTGATGTAAACTTATATAGAGCTGCATTTATTGGAGAATTTATTAAGCAATAATTTGTATGACTTCCATATGAGAGAATGAATGTGATTTTGTTGACAAACTCCTTTGATTAAGCTATTACCAGGCACAAATCCAGCGTCGAGTAAAAAATTTTAGGAAAATCAAAAATGTTCTATGATGTCTGATTCGAGAATGGATCTCGAGAATATATGCTCAACAGTTAGAGTAGTCTATTACAACTATAACTATAACCGGCCCAATTACCCCTCTCCCTTTCCCCAATCCCTGAATCCCCAACAATCCTCAAATTCCTAATACCATAAGGCCGGCAACGCACTTGTAACGCCGCTGGTGTTCCAGTTGTCCATGGGCGACGCTGATTGCTTACCATCAGGTGATCCGTCTGCACGTTTATACAAAAGAAAAACTATTTAAAAAAAATGTCATTCTCCTATCTCTACTGACAAAATAGATTACTAATACCTACATAAGTGCTATGTATTGTATCTCTTTGCATTTATGTGATAAGTACCTACACATATTGTGTTAAAAATATAGTGTTTCTAGATAGGTAGAAGGCTGAGAGTATGACGGAAAACCTTCTTGTAACCACACAAGCGAAACTGCGAGTATTAAATAGTATACAACAATAAATCTACCATAAGAACCATAAGTCACATCAAAATATCATATAGTAAACATATTGACATTTGTCCCATTGTCACCGGATTTTACAAATAGGTACTACCTAAGTTAATATATAGATATATAGATATATAGGTGTGTATATATAGGACTGGGGTAGCGTGAATAAGGGCGGGGACTCGGGGTTGTCAGCCGTTACTGTACCGTTAAAGCTAGGGATGGGTCACGCCGGTAGAGTGTTATCGATATTTTTTTAAGTTGTGGCTTATTTATCTGAAGTTCGTTGGGGAAGATGGTTAGGTGTGTTTTTGTGAATAGTGTCGGATTTTTATAAGACTTTTCTGTCACAAGTTAACATTGAAAGAAGAAAGAAACTGTAGTATAAAACGTTTGTAATAAATAGCTACCTAATTCTTTTATCAACTACGTTTCAAAAAACCGACTTCAAACCCCTCTTTTTTTGAAATCGTTTAATCAATATATCTATTAAAATATTCTTCCAGGTGAAACAAATAATTTTCACGAGATAATGGAGCACAGAGATATACACATACAGATCAAGTTAGTTAAAAATTAATAAGTTTAGTTTATACAGTTCTTGTCTATGTGAATAGGCGAGGCAAGGCGATAATAAGGTTATATTTAAGTTTTGTTCCTATAAAATATTAATAGAATTTTTTTTAAGAGGGGAAAATCATCGAATGATTGCTCCCGCCTGGGTGAGGCGGGAGGGAGTGTCAGACTCTTACTGACTAAAAACCACCCCGTTCCTTCTCCTGCACGTTGAGCCGGAGCCCCGGTTGCCCGTTAGGTTCTCCGCGACTAAATGTTAATAGGACAGAAATAGGTATACAAATATAATTCTCTTCTTATACTTCAATATTAATATACCGCATTCTTAAGCAATACATGTGTTTATGTGAACATAACTATATGACATTCAATTTCCACGCAGTTCTAGTGTATTTTTTAAATAGATTTCTTCATTTTATTAGGTACACCTCTGCCTAACACTTCGAGGATAAAAGACGTGACGTTGTTATGTTATGTTATTTCTTCGTTTTATTGTAAAGTTTAGCACCCAGTTTATTAAGAAACTAATATTCTATAACAATTATTAGAAAATGTTTTATATTTAATGAAAACTAAAGATGTTAGAACTATGAAATATTGTGTGTTAATGTCCCTTTTTATTCTCAGAAGTAGATTAAAGTTACTATTTAATAACTACTCATATTCTCCAGTTACTTTTTCAATTATTTTGTTATAGATGATAGATGATTCCGTAGTAAAAACCCCCGTACAGAAACAAAACAGAAATAAAGCCGTGATTGCTCTCGCCGCGATATTATTGCGAAAAACATAACATAACATCACGTCTTTTATCCCACTTGCGATAGTCGCACTTGCGACCACTCGGCCAACGACGCACTCAACTACTGCGAATATCCTTTTAAAAGTCCCATCGTTTAAGCTCCCGCTTACAATATTACACCAAAGATACTGTTAATAGGATATTTTGAAGTCCAAAATCATAAGTATATTTCTAAAGAATTCAGATAAAATCACCAATAGATAACCTTAAACTCACAGATGAAGCTATAAAAGTTACGTAAGAATAATTATAATTGCAATATGTTATAGTACATTATAAAGTTAATACATGTTATAGGTATGCGGCTAGACGGGTGACAAGCTACATTATTGATAAACAACATACGTCAGTGATGAGCGACGCGACAGAGGGCGGTGGAGGCGACATCAAGCTATGTTAAGCTTGTTTTAGTTTTATAATTTACCTTATTATCTTTTTTTTCTTTATTTCTCTGTTTTTAAACCTTTTTATTGTTATTTGTTATAGTTTTTTTACCTAGCTTGCATGTCTTTGCCTAATAAATGAATTTCATTTCATTCTATGTAAAACAAGTACATATATAGTGCTCTTCCTATGTACGGAAAGGTCATACGAAGCGAAGCTATGATGTACTAGTTATTTTTAGCTCGATATGTAGCCCCAGCTCTACCTATCAATTCTATTCGATTTCAGATACGTTGCCTTACAAAAGAAATGTTTCTGGGTGCATTTACAAACATAGAGGTAAAATATCACAATTAGACTCATACATATCACAATTAGACTCATAACATCAATTTGTAGATCACACAAAGACCACACAACTTATCATCCCCAATCCCCAAATGTCTAACCCCACAAAAGGCCGGCAACGCACTTGTAACTCCTCTGGTGTTGTGGATGTCCCATGGGGATGCCGATTGCTTACCATCAGGTGATCCACCTGCTCGTTTGCCCACGTATATCCAATCTCATATAAAAACGTTACGTACAGGATTCAAATACGCGACCCGTTGCCCAGCCACTATACCAAAGAGCATTTGTTCGTTTTAATTAATGGCGGTATGTTTTAATTAACCGTTTTAATAATTAACTGTTAAAAGGATTGAAGTGTGGAGTGGTTTAAAATGTTATTAGTTTTATTATGATAAGGCTCAATTTGAAATAGGCTTAGTCGTATTCAACAGATGCAAGTACGGAAATGTGTACCTAGATCTAGTAGTGTTTTGTAAATGATGTTATTGCACTCAATTTTATTGTAATATAGATTTAGATGCACTGCTAACCCCTCAAGCAAAGATTGTTACAGTCAAGCAAAATCTGCTATTCTTCCATTTATTGCAGACACTGACATCTCCGTCGCGCGTCGCTCAATTTTATAGTCGTTTCGTGTAATCAAAGCGAACACGTTTGACACGCAGAGTAAAAAACTGACGCATACGTTATTATTTATGTGCCCACTTTATGAGTAACTCACGTGGACGCGAACAACGATCGTAGAAAGCGTATTACAGGTGACGTGAACATATTTACAATGCATAACATTCTTATCTTTTATCTAAAACAGAAATGAATTGTTAATCAGTTACGTATAAGCCAGTTATTGAGCAAAAACTGCACTTTATAAGCCTGTTTTCAATGATAAAAATCTAACCGATAACTGTCTTATTCCACGTATCGTTTGCAATTTAGTTTTAGACTAGATTATAAAACCAAATTAGTTGCCGCCTACTGCTAAACTTATATGGTAAAGAGTAGGTGTATAAAATACTATTTATTCAATTTTATCGATATCGATAAATTGGTTGTGTCCCATCTCTCACCACCCACCCTTCGATTAGCCAGGTCGAGGTGCACGATATAACTTAACCCCGACGTTCCGCC